TTTAAGCATATCTTAAAGTACCTACTATTTTTCCTTAGCCTTAACAAGGTACACATTAATTATATTATTTTCTTATAGCTCTAGATATAATAGATATAAATATAAGTATAACGTTAATTTAAAACAAATAAGTAGTTAAAAGTTAATAACGTCTCCTTATACTTTAGTATAAATAAAGGCTATTATAGTAAAGGTCTTAATTAGTTTCCTGTTAAAGTTATCTTAGGCTATATATAAGTATATATTAAACTAATCTTTAGTAATACTTAAATATAAACTAAAGATTTTCTTTAAGGCTATAAACTAGTTATTAAGACTAAAAGTAAATATAACTTATTTAATAATAGAGAGTTATTCTTAATACTAGATAATAATAGCTTCCTATAGAAGTTCAAATAGCTCTTAGTATAAAGTATTCCTTATAGATTTTATTATAGCCTTTATTATAACTAACTATATCTAGAGGTTTATATTATAGTAATAGACCTATTTTCTATTAAAAAATACCCCTTTTTTAAGGAATTTATTATATAAGGCATTAAGCTAAAAGATTCTATACTTTATTAATCTTTATACCTAGGTAATTACTTATAAAAATAATATTATTATTATTACTAAAGTTAATATGTTTAATTATATATTACAAAAAATATTAGTAAACTTACTAATAAGCTATATAAGTATAGCGTCTAAGGTCTTGGTCTACTAGACTATATAAGTTAACCCTAGTGTATCCTAGGGTTCCTTTGTTATTACTAGTAAGGGGCTACCTAGGCAAGTAAAGGTCTAGTAATCTTTTGCCTTACCTGTTAATTCTTGCGTAAGGTTAGTGCTAATTAAAGGTATTAGATATAGTAAAGACCTTGCCTTGTCCCCTAATAATCCTAACATACCCCTAGTCATTAGAAATAGTAGTAAAGCCAAGTCTCCTAGCTAAAAAGGGGTTTAGTACTATCCTTATAGCAAATTACTTACCTTATAATCTATAGCTATAATAATAGTCCTAGGCTAGTTACTTAGGCCACCCTGGTTCTCTGAGATTAAAGACATGTTACTAACTATATCTTTGTCTCTAAAGAGCTTATCTTAGTATATAAGCCAAATAATCTACCTTACTATTTATAAATACCTCTTAATTTCTCCTTTAAGATTCTACTTAAAAAGATATAATAGTAAAATATAGGCTTTATTATTAAAAAAGGGGATCTTATATTATTTATTGTTAAGGTTAATGCACTAAGATACTATAGATAGTCAGGTATAGTTCTATTAGAAGCTATCTAAGAAACTATAAACTAATAGTTTATCTAGCTTCTGTTTAATAAAGCGCTATATATAACAGATATCTCAGATATAAGTATAAGTTAGTTATACCTTATAGCATAAAATTAGTTTAAAAATTTTACTTTTTAATTTATTTAGCTAAGTACCTACTACTACTGTTATAGTAGCAACAGTATAGCTAGCTTAATTAATAAGAGGTGTTTAAGTATATCTATAAGGTTCTAGATTTAATTATAGTACTTTAGTCTCTTAGGTCTTATTATTAGTTATACCTAATATTAGCATTAATGTAATAGTGTATAGAATAAGTTATTATATTATTGCTTTTATTAAGCTAAGGTTTACTTCTTAGTTATTTACTTTAATAGGAGATAAGATTTATATAGCGAATTTGTTTCTTAATAAGAGCTAAGGAATAAAGTAGGAGGTTATATTACTACTTATTACCCCTTTAGTAGGGTAAGTCCTTTAGAGGAGCAGTTAGATTTATCGTATAGTCTGATAGACCTTATAGTTGATGTAGTAAACCTGCTTCACCAAAGATAAGATCTAGAAGATAAAGGTGAAAGAAGTTGATTCCCTTAATGACCCTGTAAGAGGTCTACCTTATATAGTGGTAGACCTCCCGTGTCTATCGGCAAGGGTAACAACTACTTATAAAGGTCTATTATAATAGTATTTTAGTTATTATAGATTAACTTACTAAATACGCTTACTTTATTCTATACTTAGAAGTAAACATAATAAAAGACCTTATATATATGTTTTTAAAATATATTATTAATAACTATAGATTATTTAATAAAATTATATTAAATAAAAATAAGCTATTTACTTTAAAGTTTTAAAAATCCTTGATTTTATAACTTAGTATAAACTATAAATTGTCTACCTCTTTCTACTTATAGACTAATAGTTAAACTAAATAAATTAACTAAATACTTAAATAATATGTAACAGACGCTGACAGTGACGTCGGTCGCAAGGACCCTTTGACTCTACGGCCTAACCAATTGACCCAATTGACCCAAAAGATCCGTCAGTGCTTGCACGCGTACAAGCCCTGCTGTCAACACTGCTTATATGCCCTTGTGACGTACAACCATCTGGCTAAGGGAGTTGTGCTGTTACATAATATCTATAATACTATATTAATTACAATCAAGATAACTAAGTACTACTATTACTTATAGCCTAGTTTACTTATAATAGCGTAGTTAAAGAAAGTACTCTCTACTCTTTATTCTACCTAAACTACAAATTTAAACTAATAGTACATAGAGAACTACACAAAGGACTATGGGCCCTAAAGGCCATAGCTAAAATCAACAAGATATATGAAATCTAAATAAATGTCTCTAAAGACTTAGAATTTATTAGAGAATAAATAAGAAGATACACTAACACTTTAAGGATTAAAGGACTATTTTTAAAAAAAAAAAATTAGCGTTTACCTTATACAACAAAACATCAAAACTAAGCAACTTAGTAACAAGTTAAACTACAAAAAACTTAGGCCTTTTGAAATTCTTAAAAAGGTTTCACTAGTTAACTACAAACTAAAGCTACCTAATATAATAAGAATCCACCTAGTCTTTCATGTTGCACTCCTTAAACTAGTACTATATAGATCACACACTAAAGACTATATCATTATAGAACCTAATAAACCAGAATATAAAGTCAAATAAATCATTAACTACAAGAACAAAGATAATTATAACAAATATCTTATTAAATAGAAAGGCTATAAACACAAAGATAACTCATAGGAACCAGTCAAGAACCTTTAGTACACCCTATAACTACTTCAAGAGTATCACAAACTCCAGATAACTCTTCTACTACTAATGGTCCCAAACCCAAGAAATCATCACCAAGCCTAAACAAGAACTAGTCTATATTATTAGAAACCCCTATAAATCATAGCTCCTCTACTACACCACACTCATAAGCACCCAATACTAACTCTAAGGCATCTAACTTATTAATCTCCTATATACCCTTACAGAAAGTCTTGGCCTAACGATTACAAACCAATTTCTAAGTCTTCCAAATCCTTACCAGACGACCTACTACTATTACTATCAAGGATTACAAGTAAATAAGCTCCTTGTAAAGCTTCAAAAGCTCCTTACCAGCTTTTTCTTCTTTTTTATCCCACTCTTTTTGCTAAGCGTTCAACTTTTAAACTACAACTAGATTAACCTAACAAAAAGATTTACATAAGATATGACTACCTATAAGTAGACACTACTAAAACGCCATTACAAGGCTTCTTTGCCTCAACATAAGCCTAACAACAAAAAGAGCCTTTACTAAAACAACAAAACGCCTTTACACAAAAACAACAAGTATAAGGCATATCAACAACAATAGAACAAGCATCAAAGAACTCCAGAAGCACAAGGCGCTTATAATCTTTTATCTCTGTCTTTTGAGACTTAGATTTTGATTTCAATTTTTTGACGCAACTTGACATAGTATTAGTATCATAAGAAATCAAGAAGCAAGTTTGATGACTCCCTAGCCTAGGAGACACCACCTACTTATGTAGTCTTAAGGACAAGACCTTTGGAGAGAAGACCTGATGTTATGACCCAACAAGCTACAGGTGACGCAGCCCCACCAGGCCAGGCAGGGCACAGGCAGCACAGCATTTGTATGGACAAGAAACAGGATTACATAGGCGACTCCTTGGAACAGAAGAACTAGGGAAGGTCATATACAGATAAGAAGGACCAACAAACAATAAACGGTCTACGCTAGGGACTGACCTTCAGATTGTTGGTCTTAGGACAAGGACCAACTTTGAGATATCGGTCCCAGGAACAACACTCAAAGATATAAGGACATTCATTCCACATAAATAAATTACCTTCTATAGCTCTTCAGCAATCAACTTTATGATTATCTCCTCAGATACTCTTGGCACCCTTCACTAGTGACCAACGTTACAAGCCTCTTATTAAGTATATGACTGATCACCATATCCTCTGAAGACCTGATCCTCTCAGCACAACTTACAGCACTGTTCCCCAGCTTCGTTGCCTCAGCTTCTGCTAATAGACACTACTATGGAAAGCCGACTGTAACAACTTAGTACTAGAAAAAGCCCTCTAGGGCTTTTAGCTTTGTTTACCTAGTAAGTTACTTTAGCAGAGCTTAGGGTTAGAAAAAGCCTTCTAGGGCTTTTACTTTTAGCCTTTTTACTACTACTACTACTACTCTATATCCAAGTAAGTAAATAGATAATAGCCTAGTAAGTCGATTTAGTAGAAAGTTAGCTTAAGGTTTAAAGAAAAGCCCTTTAGGGTTTTTTTACTATTAGTTATACTTTGTTTATTATACTAAGCTAATATTACTTTACTTTAGTTAAGGATATAGTTTAGTTATATTATTATCTAGTTAAGGAGCCTTTTACTTAATATAGTCTTTATATCTACTACTACTACTACTACTACTACTACTACTACTACTACTACTACTATTATTACTACTACTACTATTACTACTAACTACTACTAACTACTATTAACTACTACTAACTACTATTAACTACTACTACTACTACTATACTACTACTACTAGCTGGCCTTGCGGGTGGGTGTGTGACCTGTCTGACCTGACCCTAACGACCTGACCCTAACCCGACGGGGCCGGGGCCGTCCGGGGGCCCTAGTACTAGTGGATGACAAACAACATGGATATGAAATTCACCTGTTTCGACTCGCACGTATCCTTGCGAGAATCGCGGCCGTCGAGGCAGGGATAGGACGCGGCGGGCTACCCCCGTGTGCTTGAATCCAGCTCTGCTTCGCCTCCACCTTATGCTCCGGCCCCTGGTCCACCATCCACACTATTCCCGCCGACCCAGGATACGGCTTAGGCTGTGCAACCGTCTTGGCAAGCAAGATGTCAGGACGCAAGCCTATAAGCCAGGGATGCACAGCTGTCATTCTCCATCGTTAGCTAAAGTGCGCTTCGACTTGACTCTTACCAAAGCCTAACTCACCGCTGACGTAGTCGTGCACCGTGACGAAGTGACCGCCCGCAGCCGGCGTGACCACAAGCTTCTGCCCCCTCTTCCGGAGCGGTCGATCCTGTCCGCAGCACCGGATAAGGAACTCAGTGTCCGAGTCCTCCTCCCAGCTGCCGTCCTCCTTGAGCTCTGTCGCATACGGCCTATCCTCATCACTCAGATCGCCATACGTGACATATTCCGGGTTAGCCGGCTCCCCTCGTGGTGCGCATGCCACGCCACCCAGTTGAACTCCCACTGCTCCAGGTCATAGACAGACGCCTCGACCGACGAGACCTTGGGCTCGGTCAGGGGCAGCTGCGCGATCTCGTGCCAGATGCCGCCGCCGAGGGTCTGCTGGAAGTACGGCTCGAGATCGTCCGCGCTGCGAGTCGTCTTCATGACGGAGAGGGCGGTGGGGAAGACGCCGTCGAGGGGCCAAAAAAGACGCTTGGCGGCGGCGGAGAAGACGACGGCGACAGTTGGATCGCCGCGGAGCTCCTTAAAGGAGCGGTATGGAGGGCCCTCATCCGAAGGGCCTGCTGGTTGGGAAGACGTTGCCATTCCGGCTGTGTTGATGGTTTGGGTTGTAGGGTTGGGTTGCTTGTATGGCCTTCGGCCTATTTGTCTCACCCTCTCTGAGGCCTCTTTTCAGCGTAACTCGTATGACTAAGCGTGCCTTAAACGGGGCCTTCAGCGCCCTCAGCGCGGCCTTCGGCCTTAATATTCCTCCGAATGCCTATCGCGTTCACCTCACAAGTTCTGTTGAATAGTGGAATTGCCCATGGGCTTGCGTATATTGTATGTGGTCTAGCTATTCTCAACTACCCTGCCGCGCGCGCAGCCCTTTTGGCAAGCTCCGTGAGTGCCTCAGGCTGCTGGCAGCGTGCGATCCGGCGTGTTCCGTGATCGCCCGACTGCTGCGGGGCGCGGGCCGCTCGCCGGGCACTTCGGGCACATCATGCCCTCCGTACGCCTATTATTCGACACGTTCTCACCTCACACGTTCTCACCTCATAAGTTTGCACCTCACAGGCCCTCACCACAGGCTCTCACTTCACAGGCTCCCACCTCATACGCTCTCATATCACAGGCTTTCACCTCACAGGTTTGCACATCACAGGTTCGCACAAAAGAAGACACAACACCCGCAGAATAGCTATAATGCAGCCTTTTCCCTGGGTAGAGGCGGAGCAAACCAGCGTACCAGAGAGCATCAGAGAGGACCATCCCACACCTTATCCTTTGGACCTTTTTGACGCTACAGTGGTGCGCCTTCCAAAGGAATTCTACCAAAATCCGCTGGACATTGATAAACCCAGTCATGACACCTGCACTGACTCTGACATAGACAACCAGACAGAATTAGATCTCTCTTGACGAGTTAAATGGTTGGCTTCGTCGGTCCAAACGAAGTCCATTCGATTTTACAACCAACTAAGAATACTCGAAAGCGGTTTCGCTAAGCTATCCTCACCTCAATCCCATCCATGTCCTGCTCAGCGTCGCAATCGACCAAGTCGAACAAGGTTGAAGGCTTGCAATTGCCGCAACCAGACATCAAAGGCACTGCCTGCAAGCCAGCAAGCAAAGACATGGTCGCAGCCATCGCGTCAGAAGTCAGAAGAGGCTGAGGCGACCGAGACCATCCGTTCTGCGAAGCCAAAGATGCCAGTCACTATGCCGGCAATGCCTACTGAATCAAACGCAGACCAATCATATGTTTCTCCTGAAGACGGATGGGAACCCTAGAGATCTCAACCTCAAAGCAGACAACAGCTTGGACTCTGTTAGAGCTTGGTTGCTGACCCCTAGCGGCTGAACTAAAATTCATCACTTTAATATTAAGACAAGACGTGTAATAAGTAACTATTACTTTGTTTCCTTAGGCCTAACTAGACCTCCAAGGTCTAGAAGGGCATCCTCCTCCTCCAGAGATCACAACACACACATACATACCACTTAGCAACAAGTACAAATCCAAACAGACTACAAGACATAAAGGATACACTTTTTCTAGTTTGCTCATAGCCCTGATCAGGCTAAAGAGGACCTAGAAAAAGTAGTATCTCACGGTCTAGGCGTTAGGGTAGTCACTTGGGGTAATCGGTCACTCCAGGTGCACTCGTAACGATACTGGGACCTCGGTGTTTAGTGTGGTTTGTGTGTCAACTACCCGCTTACTGGCTTCCTTTATCCCACGCAGTTTCAACATACATATACCTTTTCTGTCTACTTTTACTCTTATTAAGTCTCTTTACTTCCCTGTGACTGTCTAGAATATCACCAGCATATTCTAAGTGGCACGCAAGAGAAGATTAGACTTAGTAGCCTACCTACCTTAACAATACACCTCTTACCTCTACTACTAGACTCTACGAGACCTACTACCCTACTAATATACTAATCAATCCATAGGCTTAATAATAGGTATGGTAATGTATGTATGAATGGAGGTATCCCTTTTTCTAAAGGGCTATGCGCTTTAAGTACTTAAGGTGCTCGAAGTGCATGAAGCGCCTAGTGCGCGTTAAGTGTATGAAGCGCTTGATGCACCTAATGCGCTTTATACGTATAAGGCACTTCATGTGTATATAATCTCTTACGTACATGAAGTGCATGGGGCATGATACGATGCCTGTGATTTATATATTAATTGCCTGCGTAAAAGAATGGTTAACGTTGTCCTTAACGTCGCGTTATATCCTTGCTAATTTCTAAGTAAGCTTACGATTGGAGTTACGAATAAACAAATTTAAATACATAAGACGTACGAAATTAAGAATATAAAGTATACGAACGTAGTACACACACACACACACAATTTATTACGCCCGGCGGCAGAGCCGAAAGGGCAACTAAAGCTGATTACATGTACGTTTCTGACTTTGTGTCCTGGTCTCCTTGTAGCCCATACTGTTTCCACTTCCTGCTTCCTCCTCCATTTCTGGCTTCTCGCTACGGATTCCCGCGGTTTGCTGTTAATTAGCATGCCATCTTGAAGCCTATTCTCCAAGTGTTCAACGTCCTATCCTTACGAACACGACAAGCTATAGTATTGCTTGTTGAAAGACCCTGCGAAAAAGAAGTGGAGACGCTGAAGACAGGGGTATAGCTGATTGTTTTTTGATCAGAGTATAGTTGGTTGACATTTTCATGGGCAAAACCCATAAAAAAGGTATGCACAGGTAGCGTAAAAGAAGATAAGTCTACTTCTCTACTATGACAATAGATAACAATAGCTATAGTAATGCTTTTTTGCTTTTAAGTGTAGAGGAATATTTCGTTAAGGTCAATAAGTGACTGTGCATAAGCCACAGAAAGGCCATAACATGATAGTACTAATACCATACTAGCCCAGCTTATGTAACTTTAGTGTCTTATATAATACTATCCCATCAAACGCGAGAAGGCTACACGTGCGGGGTAGTAGCTAATAATAACCCCTAAAAGGTGACAAAATGTATAGTACCTCTATTTACGCTTATTTTTAGTTATACTAAAGGTACCAACAATTACCCTTACTATAAAGGGCTATATCACAAGTTAAGCAGCTATAGCGAGATTATTTCTGCTATAAAATAAAGCTATTCCTATTTATCTTAGTAAAGGCCTTACGCTTAAGTGCTTTTGCCTTACTATAATAAGCATAAGGTAAGCTTTTTTTTCTTGACCCCTTTATATAGTCTTGCCATAGAATAAGGTTATTATACCTATCTATAAGCTCTCTTAGCCTTACTTTTAGTTAACCTTCTACTAATGTTCTAAATTATTAAATTAGCTAAGTAGCTATAGCTTTTTGCTATAAGTACTGGTTTCTAATAAAAGTCTAGCTAGAGTTACCTAAGTATTAGATTATAAAGCTATTTATAAGTATAACTAGTAAGAGAAACTCCTAGGTAAAAGCCTATTAGCCCCTTTAATAAATAAGGTGGTGCTATTGATAATAGGCCCTTATCTAGTCACTTATATCAACGCTATTTATACTATAATTGTATTAGTTAATTAGCTCTAGTACTAGTAAGTCTATCTGGACTTTGGCGCTAAAGACTACCTGGGTAGCCTGCTTCATAGGCGTCTCTCTAGTTAGCTAGCGCTAGCAGCAGATAACTTTGTCCTTTATATAGGCCTAGAAGACTATAGTAAGAAAGAGTATAAAAGCATTATTTTTTTAGCTAAATTAGTTAACTTATAGCAAAAGAAACTATTTAGTAAAAGTAGCTTATAAAAAAGAGGTTTAAAGATATATATTATTCCATTAAATATAGTAATAGTATAAATAGTACTTTAAGGGATACCCTTACCTTTGGTGTTCTTCTTAGCAATAAGGGCTAGATTTATCTTGCTGTTCCTTTAGTAGATGCCAGAAGCTTTAACGCTAAGCTACTGGAGGGCCTAGAAGAGCCGGACAAAGGAAAAGAGGTTATCTAGAAACATGTAATAAGGCGCTGGCCAGATCAGGCCAATAAGGGTTATAATAACCCGCTGCGTCAGCATCAAGCGGGCTACATAGGCCATCTTTTTGCCTTTACAGGCTAGGTAGCTAGGCCAGTCTTGTAGGATAAGCCTATACAAGCCTTTCCTATGGACGTACTAGAGCTACTAGAGGTAATACCCTAATTAAGCTAATATCTATACTTTAAAGCTTATTAGGATTAGTTTTGTTAAGATTATTATTTTCTCTTAGGCTTAGCCTATAAATTAGATTATAGCCTTGTTAACAGTAAGCTTAGAGCTAGGCTTATAAAAGGAGTCCTTAGTTTCTTAGATATAAGTTAATTATTTATTGATTTTCTAGTATATATTAGGTATTAAGGCCTTTACCTTAGTCTAGCCAGGAGCTAAAGCTAGAGCTCTACTAGGTTAAAAATTATCTAGGTTAAAGATCTAGAGCTAGCGGTATAGTATTTTAAATTAATCCTAGGATATATACTAAATAAATATATATATAGAGCTAATTTTAAGTAAACTAAAAGACTAATATCTTTTGATTTTATATTTTAGGTATAAACTTATATAAATAAGAATTAATAAAAAGAGGTAAATCTCCTTTATAGAGGTATTCTTCTAGGTATATATCTAGGTATATTGCGTATAAGGCCTAGTAGGTATTCCGTTATTTGTCCACTAGACTTACTTTTTAATAAGAGTATAAGGTATAAATCGGAGGAAGAGGTTAACCAGAGTATCTGGCAGCTCCGATATCTCTGGGGCCTGGGCCGGCACTTCGAAGGGTATAAAGGAGCCTGGCGGCCCGGGGTCTGGAGCCTTGTTGGGCTGGACGGTACTATTATTGTACTGCTCTGGAAGGCAATTTTGGGTACAGGCAATGGCAAGGTTGGCCGGGCAGACCTCTATATAGCTCCGTACAGAGCTTACGGAGGTCCCGGAGGCCCCGGAGGCATCTGAAGCATCAGAATCGTAAGACATCGTGGCATTAGTAGTAATGTTGAAATTAGTGGTGATGCCATACAAAATAGCATAGGGATAAATGCTGTTGCGTCATGTATTCTAATCATGTGACTGTATTGCGGGGGTAAAAGTGGGTCTGCAGCCTTCTCGCGTTTGATGGGATAGCAATATCTAGTTTGTTTATTTTACTGCTGTAGGGGGTAAGAAAGGAAAGATAGAAAGTCATTACAGTATAGAAATAGAAGCAGTATGGACCTATTTATCTATAACCCGACGTTCTGTGTCGCTATATGCAAGACTTGCCAGTTTGCTGTTGTTGCCGACGAGGTACTAACCTGTCTTTGCATAAGACATTGATCTCTCCTGGCCGCCAGGCGCGAGGAGGTCGCACAGGCTGTCCGGGCATGCCCAGGTGTTCTCTATGACCAAGAGGGTATAGCAGCGCTTCGGCTGCCAGGACTAACGACGGGGCCGATTAAGCATCTTGCCCCCCCGGAGCACGATGGGCTTGAGTGCATGACATGCGGCTACGTCTGCCGGCAACGGCAGGTCATGCAGCGGCACTGCCGCAAGGAGCATAGGTGGGTGAATGACTGGAAGAAGGGAGGTAACGTGAGGAGGAAGGCGGCAGGGCCAAGGAACATACCATGGACAGAGGGGGTCTTGTGCCAGCGCTTCTTCCCATCACGGGCCGGCCGCCGCTGGTTCCGGGTCAGCCGGGCAGAGGAGGCAGATGGAGGCACCCGGCCGAGTCCTACAGGGACTCCAGCACACGACATCATCGCACGGATTCGCCAAGAACAGGCCAAACGGGTCAGCGCTTGGGCAGACGATGTCATACACGGTGCGAACGACAAACTAGATGCGAAATCGTGGCTGGACCACGTTCAATGGGCAAAGCACTTGGAAGGGCGGTCCATGACCAAGCTATGGGAAACGACCGAGCCCATCACGGAGGAGGAAGAGGTGCTGCAGGCCATGTGGACGGTGACGGAGAGGGTCTTGGACCAGGCGCGCAAGATGTCGACGCCCCACAGCGTGGGCAACGCCGTGTTGTTCGAGGTGCAGCGGAAAGATGCCCACGTCAAGCCGCCCAGGCCGTTCGACAACCGGTTAGAAGACCAGACGTGGGAGCGGTACAAGGGCATCTGGCGGAGGCTGCTCTGCATCTGGCACCGCACGCAGGAGATGGCCGACGACGAGCGGCCGCCGTATCGGCTGACGGCGAGGCAGCGCGAGCTATGGGACCGCTTCGAGGCGGTCGTGCGGAGAGAGGGGGCACTAGACGTCGGAGAACCAGCCGACGGACCGACGGAGGCGGAGCGGGCCGCACTCGAGATGCTAGTCGGCATTCCGGACCACCCGATCCGGCGGGGCGACTACCAGAACGTCTTAATCAGCGGGCTCGCAGTGATGGGCATCAGCGAGGATGGCGGCTGGGTGAAGGTGACCGACTACACGACGATCTACTCGGCCGTCATCAAAGTAAGCCGGATGCTCGTCGTATACCAGTCATCCGTCGAGAGGACGGAGGCCGTGGCGGAGAGGGCCAAGCAGATCGGCGAGGAGGCGGCCGAGGACGAGGTCCGCAGCGTGTTCCAGTACGTGCGCAGCAAGGTGCAGAGGTTCATGACCCGGACATCAGGGGCACCCGACGCCGAGCCGACGCCGATGGACTGGATCTTGGAGATGCGCACGATAGGGTTAAAGATCCAGTACGACACGCCGATCGCCGGGTCCGTAGACTGGATCATGGATCAGATCTCATTCCGGAGGGCACGCTTCAGCATGGGCCAGCTGTCGGACATGATGCACGGGCTGGTGCAAGAGGCCAGGGAGACGCTCGCCGAGCTGACGATGATGACGGGCGGGGGAGAGAAGCCGAGGGAGGCGCTGCCGGCGATCCCGTGGGCCTCGATCGAGGACGACCACAGCGAGCAGCGGCCGGGGTACTCGTTCTTACAGGACGACCGCAACGCGTGGACGCAGAAGGGGGAAGGGTGGGTATTCGGCCGAATCGGAGCGTCGCCCAGGCTGGCACGACGGTGGGGCGTCGACGGCAGCAGAGCGGAAGACGGCGGGCGGGAGGTGTTCGAGCCGAAGGCGCGGCGGGCATACGAGCACGCTTTCGGGCAGTTCCGCGAGCGTCTGTGGCTGCTGATGCACATGCTCGGCGGCCAACCCGGGCGGGCGACGGAGCTGGCGGGGATCCGGCACAGCAACACAGTGAACGGAGGGGTCCGGAACGTGTTCGCGCACCACGGCTCGATATGCTTCGTGACTGCATACCACAAGGGCTTCCGCCGGACCGGCCAGGCGAAGGTGATCCACCGGTATCTGCCGCGGGAGGTGGGCGAGCTGCTGGTGTGGTATCTCTGGCTGGTGCTACCGTTCTGGCAGGAGGTACAGGGGGCGGTGCAGGGAACCGGGGGCTACAGCGCATATCTCTGGGCCGACGAGATTCTGGTCGGGGCCAGGGGAGACCAAGACAAGGAGGTGGGTCAGGTGGCGGGCAGCACCGGACGGGACGGCAGCAACGGCAGCAACGGCGGCGGCGGCGGCGACGAGGAGGAGGAGGAGGAGGAGGCGGAGGCGGAGGCGGCTGCGTGGACGTGGAAGGAGGAGCGGGTGTGGACGACGGACCGGTCGCGGCGGATCATTCAGCAGTGCAGCAGCCGGCTGCTGGGCAGCCAGCTGGACGTCAGCATGTGGCGGCACATCGCCATCGCCATCGCTAACCGGTACTTGAACAAGGCGTTCGGGCGACCCAGCGAGGGCAGGCCGGACAAGGACGACGAGGCGGACAACATCAACAACAGCCCATGGGATTTGCAGGCCGGGCACAGCACGAGGCTGGCCGGGCTCATCTACGCGCAGCTACTGATGCAGTTCAGCAGCGGGTCCGCGGCCAAGCAGCAGCAGTTCCGCCGGGTCAGCCAGCAGTGGCACCGGTTCTTCGACTTTGGCGCAGAAGATCGCGAGGCGGATGCGGGGTCGAAGCCGGGGGGGGGTGAAGCGGGAGGCGGAGCCGTACGACGGCGTCCAGATGGAGGCCCGGCTCCGGCGGCAGGGGCGTCTACGGCAGGTCGATCTGGAGGGGCAGCTCCGGCAGATGACGGGCGCGCCGGGGGCGACGTTCCGGGGCAACCAGGCGCAGGCGGTGCGGGCCATCGTCGAAGGGCACAGCCCGGTGGTGCAGATCATGGGCACGGGCGGCGGGAAGAGCGTGTCGTTCATGCTGCCGGCGTTCTGTTCGCCCGACGGGGCGACGATCGTGGTGACGCCGCTCGTAGCGCTACGGACGGATCTGCACGTGCGCTGCGCCGAGGCCGGCATCAGCTCGTGGGTGTGGTCGAGCCGGAAGGCGCCGCGGGCGGCCGCCATCGTCTTCGTGACGCCCGAGTCGGTGGTCAGCAAGGGGTTCCGCGACTTCGTCTCGCGGCTGCAGGCGAGGCAGGCGCTCGACCGGGTCGTCATCGACGAGTGCCACATGGTGCTCGAGGGGAGCGCGGTGTTCCGGCCGAGGCTGCGGGAGATCGGGGCCGCCGTGCGCGAGTTCGGGGTGCAGACGGTGTGCTTGACGGCGACGCTGGCGCCGGGCGACGAGGCCGCGTTCTTCCACAGCATGAGGATGGACCCCCGGCGGGTTCTGATGTTACGGTCGCCGACGACGCGGAAGAACATCCGGTACTCCGTCGTCGAGGTACGGGGCAAGGACGGCAGGGGCGGCAGGGACGGCAGGGGCGGCAGGGGCGAGGAGGAGGACGCGGTCGAGGCCAAGGTCTGCGAGGTGGCCGTCGGGTGGCTGGGGCAGCTGCTGCAGGAAGGGGCAACGGGGAAGGCGATCGTGTATGCCGATTCCATCGAGCGGGTGGAGCGGCTGGGCGAGAAGCTGGGGTACCCGACGTTCTTCAGCGGCGTCGACTCGGTCGAGGGCAAAGCAGCACGGCTCGAGACGTGGCGGCAGAGCAGCGGGCCCGAGGGCGTCATCGTGGCAACGAACGCGCTCGGGTTGGGGATCGACGTGCCAGACGTCCGGGTCGTGATCCACGCGGGCATGCCGCGCATGCTGCGGTACTTCGTACAGGAGAGCGGCAGGGCCGGGCGGACGGTCAGCCGAGCGCTTCGGTGGTCGTGCGGCAGGCCGGGAGCGGCGGCGGCGGCAGGCAGCGATCGTCACCACCGGCAGCGAGGCAGTCGCGTCTCCCCCCCCCCCGGGGGCGGGGCAGGGGAGGGCGACCAGACCGAGCGGCAAAGACGGTTCGACCGCTGGCAGCTCGAGGGAGAACGGATGCGGGAGGGCGAGGAGGTGGACAGGTTTCTCCGGCAGCTCCCCCGAGTGCAGGACACGTGCGTTCTATGCCACAGAGACAAGGACAACGACAACGGCGGCCATCTAATATCTCCTAGTCCTAGAGATCTTCTAAGCTTAAATAACTAAAGAGAGCTTTGTTAGCTAGAGCTAATACTAATAATAACACGGCAAGATTATGTTAAAGGACAGGGTGATCCTGTCTAGGAGTTCTATATCTACTAGAATAATTAGTTTATCTTTATTGTATTGTTAAGATTACGTACTTGCAGTTCTCTACATTCCGATTGTTCTTGACAAATCTTTGGCCGAACCTCCAGAAGTAGCGATAACTACCGCCAGTTGGTTGTCGTGTTTAAATAATCTTGATGTCCTGCAATAATAAGTATCTTGGCCCTTGGAACAAAGAACGGAGAATATTACCTGATACGGGAGCCTGCTGACAAAAAGAGCGCCAATTCTTCCCCTGCTTGTTGCATAAAGCATTAGGAGTAGATAGTTCTGTATTCTCGCCCTCTTGTTTGTAACCAACAGATCGGTCCTGTTACCGGTCGGATAGATGTATGAAGGATGATTGTATTAAGGTCTATCTTGACGTGCACACCGCTACTTATAGTTGGGCACGCACTACCCACGTGATGGCTGGCATCACGTGACGCTGGCAGTGGCCACCCTGCCAAGGGGGTAACAGGTCCACACTGCTTAAATAACTTAGTTAAGGACTACAGGGCCAAGGTTATACTTAGGCTTTTTAATGTCCTTAAGTAGACCTTCTTGTGTAAAAACATTTCTTATCTACTATTGTATAGTTAATATAAGTTAGAAGATAGTAGTACAAGGGAACATACATAGTAGATCTTGCTGTTCTGTTCCTTATTAGGTTCTGTTTCTATAATAAAGGTGAATGCATAAAACAAGGCTTCTGCTCTAGAAACTATTAATTTAACTAATAGTCTTCTATTCTTAGTAATCTTGCTAACGCTAGAGTTAATGTAGAAGTAGGAAAAGTCCTTTGTTTTAGGTAAGCTAGGGATAGGTGCATCTAGCTGCAAAATAATACTGCAAGTAGTCTTAAAATCTAGTAATTCTGCTTGCAACTTAATTACTTTAATATATAGCGTATCCTAGTGCTATCTATAAATATTAGTAAGTTAGCCTTATTATTAAAAGGTAAACCTATGTAATATATTAATCTAGAATAGAACTATGCATTGTAATAGTATTTTAGCAGTATCTCTCTAGCTTTATGTAAGTATCTTGCTCCTTATAAGCGCCTCTCTTGTAACCCCTTGCTTTTGCTGCAGCAACAATATCTTTAGGGGCTTAGCGCATTTAGGGCAATTGAAATAGGACAAAAGTTCAGGAGTGTGTAGGGTGTAGAGCATTGGATTAAGGGAAAACTTTTGATAAATGGGAATGCTGGGCTGTAAGGCTATTAATACCTCTATAAGGGCGTTGTTTCTGTTTTCTGTTCACCGATTCCGTTGACCGATACGTGTGCTATCCCCTCAGGCAAGCGGCACCCGTATGAGCAGCAAATCAAATCCAGCATCAGGAGTGTATACGTACCATGGTGTGTGTCTGGCGGTTGGCGGTTGGTGCTTACACTAACACGCCAGTAACAAATGCCCCTCATTCATGCACCTGCTCACCCTACTCACCCAACTCACCTCAAACATCACCCAAGGGAGCAATAAAGCAGCCAGAGCAAGGTGAGCACTTAGGTGAGGCGATTGCACTTGAACCGGCTAGTTGTCTGCCACTTGACCCCAAATTTGCCAAGCCGCAAAATACCCATTTTACCCCATGAACGCTGATATGGAAGTATTTGATTGGGCAAGGATTTTTCCCGTATTCTCAGGCAATAGATGTAGTTGGCTCTACCCCGCCCTAGCCGAAAATGGGGTCAAGTGGCACTCAATGGGATAGTTCTACGTTACATAGCTGCTACTAGGGCGGCTGGGACAGCCTATGAATCAATCAGTCAGTCAGTCGGTTCTGGAACTAAACATGTAGATACCTTACCATAGCAAAGGGACCTCAACCCTATTTTGAAGGCACCTGACAGTCATAAATAGGACGACCGCCTATATTGGCAATGCTGGTAGCTTTTGTTGGGACGATAGCGCGTAGCTGGGAAACCATGCCACGCAGCTGATCAAGAAATTGTCGTTGGGATGCTTCTGAACGCTCCTTCCAGCTTAGCCATGCCATTTGCCCATCGATCTTGCTCATGACAATGTATGTTGCCCCCTGGTGGACAAAGGCAGAGTACACTTTGGGGACTAGAACAGAGGTCCATCGGACGATGGGTGTGTGTGCGTCTGCCAGGTTCGCGTACGGTTTCACCTTGACGCAGAACCTGGACACAGAGAGCAGAACAGTCTCAGACTTCCAAAGACACCGAAATCAATTCGTCTTAATCCATACCATCAAGAGGATCAGCGCGCGCGTCCGGGGCTCAGCTTTAAGTCAAGCCACCCACTTTTCACCTACCAACCTTTTCACCCAGAGTTTTACACTAAAAGTGCCCCTTTTCACTATAGCTATACCCAGGGGTATTAGTCATCAAGTCTGCTGCGCTAAAAACCCTTTACTCATGTAAGGGGCGAAAAAACCGGGTTACTACTACGAAGAGGGGGTTACTACCCTGCATCACGAATAGTATTACTTTTGTTTATGTAACGGGCTGAGCCCGTATGAGGCCTTGCTGGATCCCGCGGCCTAGATATCGTGGCCGAGACCACCAACCCCTGATCAGGTCCACCACGGAACCCACCAAGCCGACAACCCGATGGTCAGTGCGGCATAGACCTGATCAGGCCAGCAATGGAGCGGTGAACTGTTGTTTTCCTCTTTTCCTCCTCATCTAAGGATACTCGTAGTAGTCGCCATAGCCTGTTGCAAATATACACGCCTTGGACCGTTACAAGCGTCTCTACTTCTTTTTTACAAGGTCTTTTAACAAGTAATACTATAGCTTGTTGTGTTTATAAAAATAGGAACGCTAACCTGTTAAGTTAAATAGTTAATTAGGCCTTTTTTTCCCTTCTCTGCTAGGCGTTAAATTAAAGCGCTGTAAGAGGGTATGGGCTACTGTTGGGTCAGTGCTGGGCTAGCTGAGCACTGTAGTAGTAGGGGGGAGGGAAAACCGACCGACTGGTTAAGTTAACTAACGGGTTAATGCGCACATTAGACTAAGGGGTTCTTACGGCTTGTTAATACTAAATTAGATTTGACTAGAATCTTGGTAAGAGGTCAAGTAGCTAGCAGCTTTTTGTATTAATTTTCTTACCTAAGACTGTGAATTGTCTCGACTAGCGGAGTCCACTACCTACTTGCAAACCCCGTAAACCTCCATCTCTATCCCATCGCCGTTCTTTTGGACCATAGCTGACCGACAGTTCGACTATTTATCACAGCCAGCCCCGCAACAGCAGGCAGAAGCAGAGGGCAAGACGCCTTTCTCTGCGACTAGGTCCTTTGTCGTGGAACGTACACTGATGCTACCTGAGTGATATGTGATACTGCATCTGTCGCGATGCCCCCACGCGCATCGCGCAGCCTTGTGAGATTTGCGCCGGGCCCGGATTAACTATTAGTCCGGTCCCTTCGTGCGGATCCACCACGCAGGATACGTATTTATTCGTTTCGGACAAGGCAATCCTGCACGTAGAAATCTAAGCCGTTTTCCTTATGTCTTTTCCACCCTAAGTGGTGACTCTACGACAGCATCTAAAGTGTTATACAGACGCGCGTGGAGATCTTCCCATGGTTTCCTTCTTGCAACATGTCACCGGATAAGGTAAACATGCCTATGTAGGTAGTCTGAGCTGCCGAGTAAGGTGAAAGATAAGGAGGTCAGATGCAGTGGCTTCGCCATCTGTGCCCCAATCCTACATTGTCAATCTTATGCTAGCTTTATCTAAGCTGCAGAGTGAGGTGGAAGATAAGGAAGGAAGTTAGATAACCCCCCTAGGGCCCACCCACTCAAACCAATCAGAGTGAAGCCGTGACAGGCTCTTGTTGCCGATCATTGCTAATGTGCGTGCCTAGGTCGGTTAAAAGGATTGCACGGTACCTCTCTTTATTCCTCACCTTACGACATTCGGGAAGCTTCACTTTCATTTGTGTCCTTGTGTTCGCTCAAAGCCGAACCAGTACCGTGAGGACCAGATCCTTTCCTGTCCATCCAATCACCCCTTTTACCAACGAAACCTTCAATAATTCACCAGGCTTCACCCGATATTCTGTGACCCAGCATGAATAATGTGTCGAATGTCTGCCACGATGAGCTTTTCGGGCCAGCCGTCGCCACGGAGTCTTGTCGAGGCGGGTTCGACTTCACAGGTACGCAGCCCTTGAATGATAATGCGATACTTTGTGGCTAGTCACTGACATGATCTTTCCATAGTGCTATTCGAAGAAAGCGTCCTGTCTATCCCGCTTTCGGCTGGGTTTCTCCTGATTGCCCCTATTCAGGTGGCCCGTATCTTCAAAGCCGTTTCGGCTGTGAGGCCATCACTACTTCTGTCGATGTTCAAACTCGTTCGTACTTCTCGGTCACCCTTGTTGTTACACTTTTTGTAATTATTAGCAAGTTCATGTCATTAACATAGGCTGGCAGGTATCGACTCTCGTTTATGCCGGACTGAACTTAGCCTTGCTGATCTTATGGGCTTCGGGACATGGATTCACCACTCGCGCAACCCTGGCCTCATCCGTGTTAAGTCTCTGCGCCGCTCTCGCCCTCGCTGTCCTGTCCCAAGTTCAACATGGCAAAAGCCTACGGCCATCTTTCATAATCACTGGTTATCTCATAATTTCACTACCCCTGAACGGCGCGCGTGTCCGAACCGCCTGGCTCCTGGCATCGGACAAACATCTCATGCCAGCTATTCTCACCGCTGCTCTAGCCATCCAGGTTCTGATTCTCGTCCTAGAGACCAAGAACAAAAGGAAAATCCTGGCTGATGCGTATCACGGCTTCTCACGCGAGGCAACAAGTGGCCTCCTCAGTCGTGGGCTTTTTTGGTGGTTGAGACACTTGCTTTCTGATGGATCCCGGCGCATCTTAGCTGTTGAAGATCTCGAGTCCATCAATGAAAAGCTTAGATCTTCCAAGCTTT